CGTTGTATTGCTTATTCGAACCATAACATTCCACCATTGGGTCAGATTGAGGGCCCTACGCTGATTCCAGCCCGCTAACACTTCGGACCTGACCATGGACGAGGGCCGAAAATCTGTTTACAACTTAATGTCCCGTTTCCAAGGTTCGCCATATATATATATATATATATATATATATATATATATATATATATATATTCGGGCCACTTGCACTGCGTCATGACCACGAGCATAGCCGTCCAGTCAAAGCTATCTTTCACGGACAGACGAGGAGCAATTCTGCTAACGTAGGCTTTAACAACGTTTCATGGCATTTTACATGGAGTGTGGAAACTGGGGCCATGACGCGATACGTGGGAGTGCAGATTCCGTCTGCAATGACCCTGTACGATTCCGTCCGAAATCACCCCTTACACAAGATGATGAGCTGGTTTACGACTGTAGCTAAGATTCCCTAAGGGGGCGGCACAGCGTGGCACGCCAGTTACTCAATAACCCATATATAAGATGCAAAATATTATGCACTGACTCGGATCATCCAATGAAGCGAAGAGCTAAGCAGGCCCCAGGGCGTTTTGGTCCTCCCACGAACTACACAACGCACTCCCTTACAGCAAGCCAGCGGCTACAGTGGTCACATCAGCATACAAAGTTTGAGTCGGTTCGGTTGAGGCTGGGCCAGTTCAAGTTGGTCCAAGTTGGGCCCGTTTGAGTCGGTTAGGACCGGACCCAATTCGGGTCGCCCCGAGGCAGTCCAGGATTGGTTCGGATTGAAACTGGCCAAGACAGGCTGATGGCCAAAATAGGATACAACATGGAATGAAAACTGATGGAATAGAAAATGCTGAATGCATCATCTAATCGTTTTTTTGTTTTCTCCTTATAAGGTCAACCTGTATGTCTGTAAAATTCCAACATCTGGTCATTTTTTTTATTTTGGTTGCTACCCTTCATGCTTTGCATTCTGTCCCTCTTTTTGCTGTGAATTTCTCACCTTTTTCTTTGCCACCCTTCAATGCAACTGTATCCCATAAGATAGCCCATCCTTTATTACTGGTGATCATCTAAGCTTTGCATGTTTCCTGAGGACTTCAGCATTTCAATTCAGAGGTAGGGTGGATGGTCATGAAGGTAAGGACTGAATCTGCGCTCTCAATTGTCTAAGAGTGCAAACAGAGGTGCTGCAGCCACTTAACTACATGCAACTACAGCCACTTAACTGTAACTGTGACCAAATACTCACATTTTTGTAAGCTTTGTCAGCATCTGAGTACAGCTCTTCAGCAGTATCATAGTGTTCTTCCAGACCAAGATCTTCAATAAGGCCAACACTATTCCACATGAACAGGCCACCCATGATGGACTGAAAACAGGAGTGTGGATTAAGAAACAGGCAAATGTAGTCAACAGGAAGGTACAGAGCGTGCTTTCATATTTGTGACAAATAAAAGTTTTACCTTGATCATTGAATAAATCTGACAAGGGCATGCCCACAAAACACCAGTGTAACTCACCAGCTGGATGATGCCCCATACACTGACAATCAACCCGCATAGTGAGAGCTTCGGTCCACACAGAGCCATGGCCGTTCTCTTCAATGGGAAGAAAATTTATATGCGCGACCTATGGCCGTCCCTGCTGATGGAACACCTGAAACATAAAATATCACATGTGGCATGGTAAGAGTGAAAATGAGGCCTAACAATATCTCACATCAGCCCAGATGAATGTATGGATCACAAGTGTGCATATCAGATGCAATAGGATCCATCCATCACAAAACCCAAGTTCTAGATCCTGGGATTAACCTTGGAGATATAGACATATGTTGGCACATTTGATCTGTCTTTTAGTTTCCCTACAGGGTCGTGTCATTCCATCACATTGCAGTGGCATTGTCAGAATTTCTCAGAATCCCTGCAGGGTTATGTTCCATGCACAACCTTTGTCAGTCTCCATGCAAAATCTTTGTCTGCTTTCATGCAAAATATTTGTCAGTTGCCTGCATGGTCTTTTACACAACCCTCATCACAAAACATTCCTCAGAGCTGAGATGTATCAGAGGGCCTTGGACACTTCAGACAACATGCTCATAAAAAATCCAGATGACATTTTGAGAGTGCCTGAAACCACAACTGAAAGATTCTTTATGATAGGATATCAAATGTACAAGAGCATCAATAAAGCTTGTGAATAACTTCCTCTGCCTGATTTTTACCCACAAATAACTATGATGCACAAATACATGCAGGCATATACACTCACCCCATGCTGACAGAGTTCCAGACCATTAAGAGTGTATGCTAAATATTGACATAGTAAAATGCTGGACTGGGGAAGCTACCTCACTTCATTAGGACTGAACTGGGGAAGCTACCAGCCAGTAGCCTCACTCACTACCTCATAGTGGCTAAATTTTGAATTTATATCCATTTGTTTTTTTCTACATTGGTTACATGCATTAAACTTAACATTATCACTTTCTGTTTATATCTTATCTGATTTACTTTTGCATATTTAATTAATTACTTGTATAACTTTTAAACTGGTGTAAATTGCCCCCAACAGCTTTCTTAGGTATTTTCTGAATTAAGGAGGGTATGTGGTATGTGCTCATTGCAGCCCCTGATCCACTGTGATTGATGAGATACATATTTGATTTCTAAACCATTCTTTTTTGCCATTTTACCAACCATTTCTATCACTGCACAAGGAGCCCAGACTGCCAAAATTATATGCTATGCACACTTAACATGTCAGGTGCAGCTGCAAAATTAATGTACCATTTTCAGTACATGCACATCAGAAATCCAAGCATTAGAAGTTTGGTGGAAAATCTGCACTAACTTTAACATGAAGAAAATCAACATTTCAAGGAATTGTAATGTTGCAAAGATTATCAGGCGCAGCTACTCAAAGATTCGTTTCACAAAATGTGAAAAATTGGTGCAATCTATCCTGGCCTGAAAAAGGCACATGCAAGCACAAGGTTCAAGGCATCAATGCTGTGCAGGTTCCAATGCCACAAATGGATTTTTGCAGACTGGCAAGGAACCATATTGTGCAGGGAGTTCAACAGAGTTGAACAAAATCAAAGTTGAAAAGGGTATGACCACATGACCACATGTCAAACATGGCTCCCTGGAGACTGTTAAAAACATAGTTACATCCAAGCAACGTAAGCAAGCATTACAGCACTGCATCTGACTTCCTCGCAGCAGTAAAAGAATGTGCTCAAGACCATGACAGAATTGAGGGGGATCCTACCCACCTGGTAGGACATAGTCTCAGCAACCAAGCGGCTCTATGGATCCCCACCCAATTACTGTGTAATCCTGATCGCGCAACGTACCTGCACACGCAACCCGATCGCCTTCCAGAGAGTTTATTAATGTGCGCACCAATGGGCACCTCAGCCAAACCTTATCCACATCGAAGTACTCCGCGAGTTCCCTTCGATGAAGTGCGCAACCTTAGTGATTATGGCAGCACTGAGCCCAAAATCATATGACTGGGTCGGGGTCCAAACTAGAGGATTTCCTCCGCTCCCTATAATTTCTCCATTCGACTCGTGAGTACATCTACGCAGAACAGCTCCTCTGTTTAAATCCACTACGAAGCGGATTTACAGAAAATGTCACTCTTGCGTAAATCGACTCAGATCTGCGTTGATCTACACATAAACGCACTGTTGTGTAGATCCATTTGTGAGTAGATCTGCACAAGCGTGGTTCAGGAGTAGGGGAAAGCGGGGCAAGACGGACACCTTAAAGGCTTTTTAATGTGGAAAGTTCATAAGTCTGTCCAGAAAGTATTTAGCACGTGGATATTGAAGGCTGGTCAGTTGTCTATCTCTTATAAAAGCGCTGGTTTGATATATCTTCATGTAAAAGTGTGATCCTCCTAAATAGCATGCAATGTTTTTTTCCTCATAGTGCCCCTGGGTTGGGGCAAAACGAAGCAGTATTCGGGGTAAAACGGGCAAGTGATGAGATCGAATAAGCGAAATTAGTATTTTCAAAGTATCATTTTTTTAATGAAACTGCATCATTAAAAGCACTGCTCGGTGAGTAGGTATTCATCCGGACATCCAATACCTTTATTGCTTAAGTTTGGGCTGCCATATTTTGTTCGAACCATTCCACTCCATACTCGTTTCCTCAGTATGATCCCACGAGTAAAAGTTATAATGGCCAGCAAATGTGTACTACAGCTTGGTATGAAGCGACAGCCATTGCTGCATGGCTTAGAAACAGAACTAGAGGAACACAACCTGGTGGTTACACAATGAGACGACAACGATCGAGTCTCAAACACACAAGTCATCGAGCAAAGTTCGCTCAAGAACACTCACTCCTTCTCATCAATCCACTTCTTAGTCACTGTGAACGCAAAACACGAAAATAGCACAGCCTAGTGGACCCGTCAGCAGTTACGATCAATGGCGAAGCTAGACAAGACATAAGTCTGCCCATTCATCCCAGCACAGTTCGCACATGAACACGCACTCGTCCTCTTCATCAATCCCTGCACAGGCATCGTGCGCCCATTTATCGCAGAGAGCACATCGCGACCAAGACTCACTCGATTTGGACATGGAGAAGAAGGACCCGCAGTACAGACAAGCTACATCTTCTTCGTCCGAGGACTCCTCAAAGGTAAGCTTTCGCGGCGTACGCTTCTTTTGTTTGCGCTGCGGTTTCTGAGTTTCTACACTCTTCCTTTTTCTTCCTTTAGACTGATTTCTGTCGTCATTTTTCTTTCCTCCCTGTCTACCTTCTTTTCCTTTGAGTCTCTTCTCGAGTTTCCCCTCGTATGATGTGCCAGTCAAGACACATGTTCTACCTTTCTTTCGTCGTTTACCTCTCTCCTCCCCTGAGTGCACTTTTGGCAAAGGGAGGATTTCGCGGGGAGACACATAGTAGCTTGCGGGTGTGTCATTTTGACATTGGGAAGCATGGCTCGGTCCAGCTGACCATGACACTTCTAGTACGTCATCTTCGTCATCGCTAGAGCTTGAGAAATCATCTGGCAGAGCCCCAGCGATGAGCAACTTCGCCAGAGTTTCGGCATTAGTCAAGCTTCCCTGCCCCGATATTCCAGCCTGCGTTGCGTCTCTGGCGACAGTTTCCAAGGACTCCCGAACGTTCGTGCTCACCGAGACATCATCAACGTCAGAGGGCCCAGGCACGGGCAGAGGAGCTGCTGCTGAGTTGAGACCCACTGGTGCGTCTGCGGTGCTGGTCAGCGGGATGTTCGTCGCTTTTTGCCGCTGCGAAGTCTTCTTTACCAAACACATGGCGGTTTGTGGGAAGATCCCCGTGACTTCGAAGCCCTTCAACGTCGTCCTCACTGTTGCCACCTGCAGGTAGGCTGACCCGATCAGCTCCCCGATCTCACACAGTATGATGACTTTACCAGGGTTGTTTCGGAGCCACGTTCTCTGACCTTGGAAAAAGAAGGTGCTGACGGGAAGCATGAACGTCCGGTCCAGTAGTTGAAGGCGGTGTGAGGCGTGCGGAGGAATGGTGAGCATCAGCACACCTGCTTCCCTGCACAGCAGGATGGCTGCGAGGCCTTTGGTGTGGCTGGTATGTCCACCCAGTATGAGAAGGACTGAATCCTGTTTCGAGGGCTTCGCGTGCTGTATGAAATGGTCAAGCCATTTCATGAACAGCTCATTCTGCATCCAACCAGACTCATGGTACAGCACCAGGCTACCTGGGGGAAGACCCTTCTCCAACTGCTGGTTGGCCCTCTTTCTTGGAAATATCACACCTGGATGTATGTAGCTCCCCGCAGCGTTGATACAGATCACCCCGGTAACCAGCGTGTCTCGTTCCGCAGATGTCAGTTGGCCCACCCGCTTGCACCCTTTCCTCGCCAGCACCTTCTCTTGTTTTGTTGCGACCGTGTTGAACCTGTTTCATCCATGTTAGAGCTGCGTGTGGGACCGAACTGGGCAGAATCCATCTGCGACTCAAGGTTGGCGAAGAACGCGTTGACATTGACTTAGTTGAACTCTGCGGCGCGAGCAGCGCTTGTAGCCTCTGGTGTCCTTAGTGAGACCGTGGGGTTCCTCTTGCGAAAGCACCGTACCCACGCCTCCCCTGCCATCTTCGTCACCGTGTTGAATGGGTGAGCGATTTTGTTTCTGTCTGCGAACTCATGTGAGCTTCTTGAGGTCAGTCAGCGTTATTCCGAACATCCGGTTTTGGAGCTCCATTACGTGCTGTACCAAATCTCGCTCCTGAGCTTCCGTGAAAACAGGTTTGTGTCGACCCAGGACATTCTCTGTGGCCTCTGTTATTAACATTGCTCGTGCCTTTTTTTAGCCGTCTGTCGAGAGTCGACTTCGGTACCTGAAAGCGGCGTGCCGCTTCTTTGGCGGACATTTTCCCCACCTTGACTGCTTTGATGGCCATTGTATCCTGCTTCCAGGATTGCCGATCGGTTTTTCTCTTGTAATTTCGAACCATTCTCCGTCTAGCGAAGTAGTTCCTCTGTAAAAAAGAACGTCAGCGTGGACGTTGAACGGATTTGGGATGTCATTTGCCCCTTAAGCCCGTCCCCCTTCCTAACACTCCCTGGACCCGTCACTGTACCTATATTCTTTTTCATAAACTAGGAAAACGTTAACCTGCTATGAAAAATTAAGTACAATTATCAAAACGAAATACCTATCTGCATGCCTATAACTAGTTGGTAATAGGGCATTTCATTTCTTGTGTTAACTTAGTTACGTTTAATACTAAGGACGATATGGTGAAACACCTTTTATGTAATACTATACAAAAAGTCAGTCCTACTGTTTACGGAACAAGAAACCGTGCAACTATTTAATAATTAAAAACAAAACATTGAATCGTATATGTTTAAAGGGAATGTAAGGCTTTTTCACATTTTATTGGAGTTAGCAGCGTTTCTGGGCACAGCGTGATAAATAAACATTAAGACTTACTACAATTTGCTGGGTCTTGCCCATAAGCGGAGAAGAGAAAACCCGACTTTATTTCTTACGCCAGTTCTGTCAGACAGAATACCTATGCGTTAGTAATTACGCCAGTGCCTGTGCATGCAGAGAAATACACCTTTAAATGCACGAAAAAGTACGAAGCGTACTGTGAGTTTTATGCGAAAATGACCAAAAACGTATTAGCTTTTCACTTTTCTCATAGCCTAAGTTACTTTTTAAGATACTTTTTTCACAACGGGTCGGTCGGAAGTCGTTGCTTGTTTGCTGACTAACAAGTAAGTTATAGAGGCTATCAAAGAGATGGGCAAATGCGTGATACTGAATCAAGTCATCACAGGTAGGTACTTACAATTCCAATGTTCACAAAAAAGCTTTGTTAAACAACATAATTACACGATAAATATAGAGCAATCACATGCGCACCTTCAATAAATTATAAACGACAAATCGCAAGGCCGCACATTCCCAGCTTGACGCAGTAGTTCGACCACTGTTTAATCATATAACTGAAACAGGATCGATTCACTTGTTTCGGGCTCTACTCACGTGCCTGCTACTACCATTGAAACATTGTGTTCATGGCTTATTTAAGCCAAACTTTTCTTGCGATAGCCATATTTCAGGTCGGGTGAAACGGAACCTTTTGTGTCCTATTTTCCCCCGAGTGCCCATTTTGCCCCAACCATTCTGCCCCATGGACGCCAACAACACAACATGATTCGGCACGCAACGAAAACTGGCCCGAAAAAATTCACAATTGCTCACAAGGAATCTGCATGCATACACCATCAAAGAGCAGCAACTTTGAGTTCACGATTCATTATACTCGTAGAATAAACAACGTTCAGATCACTATAAAAATAATAACAACAAATGGAAAGCGAAAACTCACGTCCTCCTCTAACGGCGGCCGCCGACAGAAAGGCCCGGTGTACGTCATTTTCGTCCCCTGTCAGACAAGCTTTAGTTTAAATCATTGATTTCCAATGGCGCCACCTCTAACAGCCGCAATCGCGGACTGCCCGTTTTACTAGGGTGCCTCATTTTGCCCCGTTTTACCCTCAATCGACTCAGATCTGAGTGGATATACACAGGAGCGCCATTCTGTGTATATGCACTGCGGAGTGGATTTAAGCAGACGAGCTGTTCTGTGTAGATCCACTCAGGACGTGATATACACAGAAGCGCCATTCTGTGTAATTCCACTCGCGGGTGGATTTAAGCAGAGAAGATCCCAGCCAGCATTCCCAAACGGGGCTCACATGAGCTAAACGTGGGGCAACTGGGTTAATGTGGGCATGGGCTACAGGTGGGCTTCTAACTGGGCTTCAGCTGGGTCTCACATGGGACGCCGACATCGAAAAAACTACTTGCGCCTAACTGTTTTCCAGATATATGATGTGGATACATGAACATTCGTCCTCAAATGTTTTGTCATCGACAAAGTCATTTTCGCATTAGTGCGCGCATCAAATTGGAATTCAGATGTTTGATATGTGCA